CTTCCTCCTCCTTCTCTTCTTCTATTTAAGCTTCTCCATGTTCTCTAATAAAAATCTCTTATGTTAGGACCGATAGCAAGAGTCCACACAACCACTCTATATATTTCCAAATCATGAGCAATGGAGTCATTCTGGTGGGAAAGGGATTGCTATTTGAGTGACCTATTGCCACAGAGCTAGTTAAATCACTGAACAATAGTTACTGTTATGGGGCTTTACCTTGTACAAAGTAGCATTAGTATCATTGCTTTCTATTAACCATAGAACTTGCACTGGAGACTTCCACTGAGAGAGAGAGAGAGAGAGAGAGACAGACAGACAGACAGACAGAGAAACTAGGAAAGGGGAATAACTTCTGTAGTATTAGCATTTAGACTTCAAGACATTTAACAATGTAATTGATCTCAACCTACCTGCATGTACTCTGTACTTTTTTTCCTCTCAAATGTTTTTGACATGCCCCTAATAAGAATCAATACATCCCTACTCTGACATTCACACATAAATCCACACAAAGAGCCAATCAGAACACAACAATAAAAACACACCTGGTAAACAACTATCTTTGAAATCAAAGGATACTAAGCAACAAAGGGCCTAGAATGAACATCCCAATTAGCCACTGTAGTGACAAGCAGTCAACACCTTATTATTTAATCATTAAAGAGAATCTTGCCATAATTTCCCTTTGACATATTTCCAAAGGGAATTAAGAGTACCCGCCATGACTCACAACAACAATCAAAATAAAGTTAGATGGTTTCAAGACCCCATCACTTGCAAGGCCTGTGGACACAGAGGTTCCAGGATTAAGGCATTAACTGAGACCCTAAAAGTACTTACAACTTAAATAAGATGTGTCCATGTGTAAGCATTTAGAAACAAACTGACAAAGGGACCATTTTCCTATCCCTCCATGTTTGTGTCCAGTTTTCTTAGTGGATGAAAATAAATTGCTTGCATTCCTAGTATTAGTAAATATCCCATAGTCTCATCTATTTTTTTCTTCCCCTGAAGCAGCAGATCTAATACATCAAGAATATTAGGCCTCCCCATACCCATCCCTTAGTAACACCTCCCCAAAAGAGAAGGCTTAAATCTCCCTTGGAGGCATCCCCATCACACTTTGCAGGGAGGGGTGCTTTCGATCAAGTTCAGTTTTAAGAATTTTATCTCAAACTATGCTTCAGAAACAACATTCCAGACTCTTCAAATAAAACAATCGCCACCTGGGTTCCCTGGCCCACTGGGGAACCAAATTGCACTGGCTCAGGGCTGCCCCTGATCCCCAAGGCCCAGAAGCCTGGCGCTTTCCAGCCTGGGCTACGCAGCCCCGGCGGCTGTCCCCCGTCCCCGGGGAGCTCAGCAGCACTTGGCATTTAACCTGCCTGGCGAGCTTGGCTTTCTGGTCCCATCTCCGCGAGCCACATTACTTCTCCCCAGATATTAGAGACAAATCTGGATTAACAGGCAACAGGGCGCCCTGTGCAGCCCGCCAGCCCTCGCACAGGAGCTGTTAAATGCAGATTCAGCCGAGGACCCCCCGGAGAGCTGCTATTGAATAAAAATTGTAATCCAAAGGGACCTTTTCTTTGCCTCCCACTGCTTGTAGGAGAACCCGGGTTGGCGCCCGAGCACAGGCCAAGCTACTCCTGCTCGCTACCAGCAGGCCAGGCCACCTCGGCTGGTGGCCTTCAGGGCCCGGGGACTCTTGCTCCGCTCTCCACTCCCTCTCTCGACCCCTCCTAGAAATGGAAGATGCTTAGATTCAAGGAGTGGCGAGCAACAAACAGCCCTGGGAAGGAAGGTTTAATTCGATAGCTCCCTCCTGGAGTGCGGCCTGAAGTCTAGCGACTGGGCAGCCAGATTCTTCCCCGCGTAA